AGTTATTGTAGGATGTATGAAAGTATGTGAATAAACACTTCTCTGAAAGTCATTGTCTTGTGGACACCACTGGGTTGCTGCTGCCCATATTCAGTAGTTAGAAGTTAAAGTGACTTCGCTTAAAAAATCCTTAAACACTAGTTTAAAGGAAACACTACTACATTCTGCTTGTTGTGATAAATGAAGTTCAGCATCAAATTATAACATTTCTATGAACAAATGTCAGCTATTTATTGCAGAATAACTTAATAAACATGATCATGAAAGAATTAATGATCATACCTGTATCCCACACTGGTTTCATCATACTTGGTTTACACCCCAAATAAAGGGCTAATCAAGGTTTAATGTGGAGGAGCATCACCAGCGAATAGCATTTTAATATGTAGATATGACGCCATCTAGTGCAAACGAATGGTTACAACAGCACAAACAACACATTGAAATAATCAAAATCTTTTTTTGCTGTTGTACCAAGACAATGAATTTCTCTTGTAGCTAATGTTTAGAAGACTGCAGTTACATATTTTTAATATCAGTGGATGTAATTCAGATTGATTTGACCCATTAAGTCATTTTACTGTCGGATCTGTTCAGAAAGTTATCAAAATCAATTAATAATTTAAATAATTTGTGGGTCATTTGGTGACAGAGAAACGGAATTACATTCACTATGAAAAAAGAAACATGAACAAGTAAGGACATAGTGATTCGTTTTATTGGCAATTTGTATAACACAGGAGACAACAGCCAAAATATGAAGGGTCTGGCTTAACTTGTTATAAATAAGACACAGTACAATAAGGAGGGATTCTAACACATATTGCTTGTGAAACCTGAAGATGAAGCCAAATCTACCAATGTTTCCTCATAAACTGTTGTGTCTATTGGCTTTGACCAGTTTAACCAAAGAGGGATTTTAAAGGCCAATAAAGAGATACAGTAGATCAGACCACCCAGTCATGGTTAAGAGAAAAATTACAGAAAATTAGAAAAAGCAAATATTATTTTGAGAATATTTATTTTTCTGCTTTCCTTCATCTCATGACCCCTGAGATTTATCTTTTGACCCCTTGAGTGTATTCTGAACCAGCACTGTAAGGTCACTATAGCTTTGCCCCAGAACGGTTTCAGTTGGTCGAAGGCATGTGTATCTTTTCACTGAGGGTCTGCCTGTAACATATAGACTACTACACAGACTTCCCACATTTATATTTATATTGTTTTTAGCATATGTTATTTTTTTTGCTTTAGAAGCAGTCACAGTCATCATCATGTGTGCTCCATGTGTAATAAGAGCCTTTTATTCTTGGGCAAATGTCCATTTCAGACACAATCATAAAGTGAGACAGTTAATAAAAAAATATACATAATTGTTTTTCTGTTTGTTTTTTAAGAAAGAAGAAAAACTGCAGAGGCAGCTTTTAGTCAGTCATGTCAACAGTCACATCAGAAAGAAGGCTATCATCTGATAAATCCTTGTCTCCCAGAGCAGTAAGTGTTTCAAGAACAGTCCCTGCAAACCATCCAGAAGACAGCATGCATGCTCACTCACTGACATGACTTACTCACATGTAATGGACGGGAGCCAGCGTTAACATTAACGCACTGACAGGTCAAAATGTCTGTGGTGGAAAGGGTCTGTTTAGACAACTAGTGACTGATGATATTTAACTCTTTATAAATATAACAATAGCCTTAATACAGTCACATGGCTCCCAAACCCTTTTCAACTATAAAATGAGGGAACATACAACTGCATGTAAGCTGGGTATCATATTAGTTTGGTTTCACTTCAAGTGCTGCTGCCTTTCACCTACACATACACAGAGCAATACCAATGTTTTATCCACAGATATGATTAAATATGAAGACATCCACCCATCTGAAATGACTCCAGCATTCCTGCGAGGTATATAATGACACAGTGAAATCTCCAGATGTTTGGATGGAGGCTTGATCTCGGCCATAGTCATGGCAAAGTAAAACAATGAGGTAAGTTAAAAAGAATTCATAGCCAGTTAGAGAGGTTCAGGGTCAAACAATCATATTTAAAGCTACAGAGTCTGTGTGATGTCAGTTTACAGAGCGAAGGAGGCACTTCATCTGATTCCTGGTTTTACGTCTGATGTTTTCAGATTTCTCTTCCAAACTGGAGTGATCTGAATCACAAACAGAAGAAAAGACATGTGTGACCTGAGCTTTAGCCACTTATTTGACTCTAAATAAAATGATGATCCTTGAATTTATCAATCAGGACTTTGGGGTGAGAAGTGGCCTCAGAACATGCACGTGCAGAGATGGCATATTCTACACATTGTGGCTGCGTGTCTATTACCAGTGAAGGCTCTAGATGTCGTCCCAGAAATGACAGCAGTCGTCGCCATATCATCCCGCTGCCCAAGAACATGAAGCCCGTTACCAGCCAGAAAACACGAGGGTCCTGGTGACAAACACCAACAGATAATCACAAAAATGAATAAAGGTATAAATATAGAAAAACAGTGTGTACAGCGTGCAGGTAAAGATACATGGGCCAACATGAATAAGGAATACATGCAGGAAAACACACATAATCTCAATATTATATCTAATAAATAACTTTTCTATAAAATGTCAAAAATAATGACAATTATGTTTTATCTGAATCTTACGATTTGTCTTCAAGTTGCCCATTTTTATAAAATTCGAAAGTGAATTGTGCACAAGTCAGAGAAAAGTAAAACAAGCAAGAAAATCCTAATATTTGAGGAGGCGTAAGCGGCAAACACAAAAGTGAAACACGTGATGCAATTCTTTGGCAGGAAGGTGTCTCACCTCTTCAAAGCACGACGTCAAATTCATTCCAAAGGCCACACCAATCAGACCGAACAAGGTGAGGGAGAAGGAACCCATGGTCAGCTGCAGGTTCAGACGCATCATCACGTTACGATTGCTGCAATAAAACAGACACTCATTTAGAACCAACAACTCGTTCTGTATCAACAGAATAAAAATATGGATCTTAATCATGTCAGAGCAAAAAGAACAGCAATTACACACATTGTGAGTTTCAACGTTATCAAAGCAGTTTCACAGAAAATGCTGTAAATGATAAGTCTCATAAAAACACACTCTGAACAGTAAAAACATTCTGCATACAACAGACTAACAAGTGGCAGTTATACATACACTACTTATAGAATATACATACACATACTGTAGGTAAGGGTATAGGTAGTGTACACCCAGTGTGTGAGTGCCTTTGGTGTACCTGTCTAGATTGATAAAGATGACACTCTCAGAGTCGTCTATCAGCCCTTTCAGTTCTCTGGCCTTGTTCCCCAGCTCCTCAGCCTGAATGGAGCAGTTCACAAACACTCACTCGCTGTACACGAGCCAATTTCCCCCCCGGGCAACAATACTTATTTCTGATTTTTATCGGATGGCATTGATATTGTATTTCTGTGCTTTTGATATCAAAACAAACAGAACATGTGTCGTTTTGTTCACAAGTCTTGTACAGACCATTATGCAAATCTTCTTGTAGCTTTAAATCTGCTTCAGTTGAGTCACAGCGCTGTTGTTAGTTCACAATTTCATAAAAAATACATTCATCCATTACTGAGCATACTTATTTGAATTAGTTTATATCTAAAATTAGAATGTACTGAGTAAAAAGTGAAATGTTTGCTATGTGGGTGGCGATACCTGCATAAAGTAATTCTCCAGTAACAGTTCCATCTCCTCAGCATGGTCAATGCCCAAACTGCTCTCCTCACTAGAAAGGCAGACAAAGAGTCATATAACTAAATATCACTTCACATTTGACCATGTGGCTTATTGATGAGGCTTCTGACTTTGGATCAGAGGATTGAGGGTTCAAGTCTTGACTTCTCTATCTAGTTTGTTTCTGGAAAGGAAAAGGACCATGTAACTTAGAAAACATGAAACATTTATTTTGAGTAATACCAATGCTTAATGGTCATTCCATGTTTCATCAACAAAGTAAATGACCATCACTTGCATTCTATTGTACATGTTGGCTTAACAAACAATCAAAAAGTATTCAAGTCCTATTTGTTAGTCAAGTTAAAAGAAAGATAAATCAGCACAGAAAGCAGCACAACTTGAAACCAAATTTACCTCTAACAAAACCTAACCCCTACCAATGAGGACAACTGCACAAACAAAAATAATTTGAATATGAGCAGAAAACCTTTTCAAGGCTCAAACAACTTGTATGTGAGTGCATGTGTAACGTACAAAACTCTTGGGTCGGTCCACTTGGTCAGACAGAGTTCTTCAATGATCTCGTCCTCATCCAAAATCTTCAGCAAGGAGTCCTTAAAAACCTTTATGTCCGTTTCCAACTCGGACAAACTGTCAGGGACACAAGACAGACAAATCAAAATGTAAATGTTTAGGTCTAAAACTACCAGTGTGCATGTTGGCAGATGAGAAGCAGTGAAAGAAAACTGCAATCCCCTGCCACACCTAATCTAGCCTCATTCAGAGGAGCTATGTTGGTGTGTATGGATGTGTGCTTTACCTCTTGCTGTTCTGCAGCAGTATATGTAGTTTACTTCTGTCAGCAGAAAGGATTTTAGGATCCACTAAGGATTCCAACACATCCAATATTACTGGTTCGACCTCATTCAGCCGGGTTTGCAGCGTGTTGACCTATTGACAGATACATGAACAAACACATGAACAAGCCTTTACCTCATGTATGTCCTCTGTTTACAGAGTTAGAAAATGCTTGGATACTCTCTAATCTGTCTCACCTTGTGCTGCAGTATGGCCTCCAGTGCTCTGAACTCAAAGGGCAGCGAGTGTGTCTGTAACGCTAGCTGAGGAGCAAACTCCAGCATCAACCAGCGTTCCAATCCCAGACCACGAAAATCCAACACCAAGAGGGACTGTGGCGTTATGATGGCTTTCAGAGACTATGGGAAGACAAGCGGGATGTTAGCAGATGTTAGAAACTACTGAAACCTGTACTCTGATACCAGAGAGAAGAAGATTATAAAAGGGACTCAGCTTGAAGTTACATGAATTTGTTTGGCAGTAAAGCTGCTTTTAGACAAGCACTGAAGTCTGAACATTTTCCAGAGGGGCTGTATGTGAGAACATAAATGTCAAGAGTCTGTTGCTCCCAACATTTTTCAGATCTTTTCCTGCCAGCCCACTCATAAAATGTCAGGAAATGTCAGTGTGAGCGCTTGTGAGAACCTGAATTTCGTCAGTAACAGATGCATACAGGACATTTCACATGTTGATGTGTACGAGTGTGTGCATCTGTCTGTATGTAAAGATCTGTGTTTGGGAGGCTACAAGCTCAATAGTTGACTCTGATCTGTCAATATTTGCAGTGAATGACCTGATAATTGAGAACCTGTTATGTAATCAAGCACACTGGTGTGCTCTGAGGGGTCTCAAGCAGACTTCACACACGACCGATATCCGACTGGACTCGTCAGCAGAGGAACACCAAGACGCAGTCACAGCACAGAAAGCTTTCAGTACTTCAGGTAACACACCAGCACTGCTCTTTATTTATGTTGAAGTTTTTTTTTAGCACATAATCAAGCACAGATCCAGACGCGTGAATATCACTGCAGTCTACGTGATGCACACCTCTTTACTTTGTTTTTCTAATAGTCAAGTAAGACTTAGTTGGTTAATAAGAAAGTTAATTTTTTTTTGTTCTGTTTAAAGTTTAGACAGAAATACAGCACATATTGTTGGTGCATGGTGTATATACAGTTCTAAACCTGACACTGTTTCAAAACTGTAAGTAAATACAAACAGGCCGGACTCTAGTCCTACAGCTTTACTATTCAGCAGGCTAAGTGCAAGCATTTTTATTATTTTGTGTAATTATAATGCATTTTTTAAAATTTCAGTTTTAAAAGTGACCCAGAAGATATTATTATACTAGATATTATTATATATTAATACTATTAAAACATACAGAAAAAAGATTACTACAAAATAATTTAACATGTGAGAACTTTGCCTATTTCTATTTAACAAAATATATTTTTTGCTTATATAATTTATTATATTGATATTGATGATTGATGACTAAATTTCTACTTTCAATAACATCCTCCTGATGTGTTATTGTAATTGCAGGATGGCTGTGAAGCTGCTCTGTCTCTGCCTGCTGCTGGCTCTGTTGTGTCCCAGCTGGGCCAAAAAACAAACATGTCCAACATCTGCTTCCAGCTGCGACGAGTGCGTCCAGTCTGGTCCGGAATGTGCTTGGTGCACTGCCCCTAATTCTGACGTTCGGTGTCATACCATGAAGGGGCTGCGGAGGGCAGGCTGTCGTAAAAGTCATATATACAACCCTCAGGGCTTGGTGCAGGTTGTCAAGAATGAGAGCAGGTGAGTTTTCAAGTTTTTAAGATTGAAACCACACAGGGAAAAACACCCCAAACACAGACATGCATCAAATTATACTGATTTAGGTATTGCTATATTATAGTTTCATCATTTATTCAAGGCCACAATTACTTTTTAGTTATTTATCATGCTGCTTTTGACTCATGAATCTGTGCAGCACAGAACCAGCAGATGCCAAGACCCTGTTCCTCCAGCCCCAGGAGTTCTCGGTCCTTTTGAGGCCGGGTGTGAGCCAGACTTTCCCTCTAACTATCACCATGCCGACAGACCAGCCTGTCCCAGAGCTGACGACAGACACCAACAATGTGCCGGCGGGAGTCAACATCACACTCAGTAGAGTCGTGACTGGACACCCCTTATTTGTACATGTCACCAAAAGTTAGACTGAATTATTGCACGGGACATCCGGAGCCAAATACCTCATGTTAAAAACAAAGGTTTTGCCATAATAATAAATGCTCTGTTCTCTAGGTGACTGTGGAGGCCGCCCAGTGTCCCAGTAAGATTGATGACTCAAACCAGAACAGGACTGGACCCTGGTTTGTCTACATCACACCCAGAGGCTTTCCACTGAGTGTGAAGTTACAAATTTCTCTGGAGTGTGAGTACAACCACAGAACCCAATCAAAGTTATATATATGGTGATAAAGCTGAGTACTAGAAAAGACCCAAAATGAAGACAATGAGATAAAATCAGTCCTTATGAAATAGCTCATTCAATAAGATTAATATGAAGATAATTGTGTCAGAAGAAGGAACAAACAGCACTCTTCTATAATGTTATGAATAAATACATAAAAATTATTTCCCCAGGCCAGTGTGAGTGCACGAGAAGCCGCGAGGAAAGCAGCGTCGCCTGCAGTGGTCACGGAGCTCTGATGTGTGGCCAGTGTGACTGCTACGATTCTCACACTGGACAAAACTGCCAGAGAGACAAAGATTCATCTTTTTCGCAAAATGAAGATTTCTGTCGCTCAGGCCCAAATGCCCCTGTGTGCAGCGACAACGGGGAGTGTGTGGACGGCTTCTGTGAGTGCAAAGAGCGAGCTGACCCGCAACAAAGATACAGCGGACGATTCTGCGAGTGCAACAACTTTGACTGTTTATACGTCAACTCCAAGTAAGATGTGTGAAAATCAGTTATCTAATCTTGTCTACTCTACTTAATTACAAATACAGATTTATATTTAAAAGACTACGATTCATGTCCAACAGAATATGCGGAGGCCATGGGAAGTGCGAATGTGGACGCTGCTTGTGTGATGACAACTGGACCGATGAAGACTGCAGCTGCTCCATGGAAACTGCCCCCTGTATGGCAACAAACCAGCAGCTGTGCAACGGTAGAGGGATGTGTCTTTGCGGCAAATGTAAATGTGAGCCACCATACGCTGGCCCGACCTGTGAGATCTGCCCTCACTGTCAGAACACATGTCAGCAGCACATGGAGTGTGTGGAGTGTCGAGCGTTTGGGATGGGACAGAAGGACAGGTGAGAATACAGGGGTTCTGAGAAAATGTGATGGGGACAAAATTGAAATTATTAACTAAACACTATCTGTTGCTTTCTCTGAAGATACCATACTGAACTCTTTCTGATTTGAGACATAAGACTATTTGTCTTATTTCATTTCCGCAATATAAATTACTTTTAATGAAGAATGTCCCCAATTATTATATTTTACAATTTGAATGCAAAAATCTGTATTTATGATCTTGTTTATAATTCCTGAATTGCTTGTGTTCTCTCACTCTGCATCAGGTGTGACCAACAATGTGGTTCCCTCAGTGTGACCGTGGTGGAGACCAGAGATGATTTGCCTCAACGTGAAGAAAATATTGCATTCTGTAAAATGATGAGCCGCCATGACTCTTGTTTCTTCTACTACACATTCTCTCACACACCCTCTGGTGGACAGTCAGTTGTGGCGCGGGCTAAGGATTGTCCCCAATCCTAATTGTAAGAAGCATTTTTCCTGTTTAAGTTTCAATATAAGCTACATGAGTTTTGTCTGTTTCTTTGTTGTATTAACAATGATACTAAAACTTCATAAAACCTTTGGCTTTGCAAATGTTTCCAGTTGTCATTACTTAACTGCACTCTACCGTCGCATCATGTCTCATTTAGAGACGGGCTGAATGTCTCTGGTTTGAAATTGAGCTGTTGTAAGTCTTGCATCAGCAGAAAAAGAGTTTTGGGTTTATTTTCATCTATGTTTGGTCTCAACCTTTCATCAGAGCATGTTTCCTAATTAACTGTCACTCAATTTGGGTGACAGCAGAAATATCTCATGACTCATAAAGTGTGCTTATAAGACAAGAGGAGACCATACCGCCATTCGTAAAATGATGCAGTTGTTTCTGGCAGTGAGGCTGGTACTGTGCTGAAAGCGAAGGTCTCTGGCCTGAAGACTTAGCTCCTGGCAAAGCTCAGTTTTCTTCTTCTCTGTAGGAAAGATAAATAATTACTTCACTAAGAAGAGCAGCAGCAAAGAGTAATAATCTAGACACAATTCTATTCTATGTATTTCTGACTTTGTATGGTATAGAACTCTACACCAAATCTAGAATGTTCATTTGAGCAAATCTTACTTTCTGTGTTTATTTTGTAAAACAGGCAAAACAATAATGAAAAAGAACAACTTGTTCTGCTAGATAACATAACAGAGTGAGGGAGCAAAGTCAAACCATGAGGGTGACACCCCAGGTCACAGCAGAAGCAACACAGCAGTGGTGAGCAACAGTTTTCTGTCCAACTGTGCATGACTAGACAACCTTGACTTTAAACACATCATTTAAGTCAGTTAAAGGTTAACAGGAATTATTTTTAACTTACCAAATGATGTCACATTTCCCTCCTGGTCAAATTTCATCTGTGAAATAAATAAAATATAGAAACTGTTTATATACATCGAGGGATCACAGTTTTTCAAGTTTTAACATGTTCCAAAACATAAGTGCACAACAGTAGATTGGTTTGATATTGTTTGGGAATCTAGATTATATCCAGTCTGCATCTGTTTTCATATTCGCTCCTTTACATTAAACATGTCTCAGATCTAACAGTAGTATGTTCAGCAACCACTGAAATTATTCTGGCCGTCTACCCTCAGTGAATTTCTTACCACTACAAAAGCTAGAGGCACACTGGAAATAGGGGCATCTGTCACTCTGCAGCGGATGAGGGACACTGTTAAAAAAAAAGACGAGGTAAAAATACATGTGAAGCAAAGTATTTCAACCATAAAGCTGCCTATAGTATTGTTGTTGTCTTTGACTGCAATAATGATGTTAAAATGTGAATATACTGAGCTCTGAAAACGATGAGATGCTCACACTGTTATTTCACTGGATTGACATTCATCAACTCATTTTAGCAGTTAAACCCCAATGATGTTGACCAGGTTACTGTGACTGGTTACGATTGGGTGGATTTTTTAAAAAAATACCCTCCATCTTCTGTTTTAAGGAAGTTTTTTATTTTTGACCATGATGACAATTAATGACAAGGATGACATTAGGTCTGGGCTATAGTGGAATTGGTTGTTCCAGAGAAAGATGTGTATATAATAACGTTGATTTTTCTAAATTATCTCCAACATACTGGCGATTCTGTCCTGCAGTCTTTTTATTTAACCTTAGAAACACACACTGATGCAAATATATCTGTAATTGACTAATATCAATCTATGAGGCTTAATTTTATCATGTATTAAATGTGTAAAAACGATCTGCATATGTCTTATACCAGCTGTAACAGTGAGATCCCCTGTAGTCAGTATACCTTCAACTAACCCATCTCTCATGCTCACCAGGCCACGATGCTCCTGCCTGCAGCAGCTTCTCCTTTCTCACCACATCGGACTGACTCGTTCTGTGTTGATGCCTTGATCCAACATCAGTGTAGCTCCTCCTGTGCACAGACACGTTCCTGTTTCCTCCTGGCACAGTGTACTTCATTGGGCAGAGGCTTCGAGTGACGCCACGTCTTGAGGCAGAAAAAGCACTGAGACAAGTGAAGGGTCGCCTTGGAAACAAGTTCCCAGTAAAAGGTAGATACACCCTGGTGCAGTTCATGCAGCCAGCCAGCAGCAGCCTGGTCTCCACACCACGACAACACACAGCCTTCACGCAGGCTGACATGGCGGCTGTGGAGAGAGCTGGTCTCAGCTCAGATGTGGACACAGGTTGAATGTGTTAAATCCTGGTGTCATTGGTGGAGCCTTCCTGCAGCTGTTTGAGTGTGGACAGTCCGGATCCACAGGTACGAGGAGAATGAAAAGTATTCACACATAAACATGGCAGGGACAGTTGGTGGAAACACTGGTTCAGCTCCGGTACCAGCAGCTTCACTCTGCCTGAGCTGCGGCTGCTTCCTAACTTTCCTCGCGGTGTTTTCAGCAGCGGCTGCTTCGTGTTATGCTAGCTCCGTTAGCTTGGACAGTGACGGGGACAACTCGTTTTTGTTAATTCTCCGTTTAAAATCCACAGTGACAGTAAACGAGGACACGACGGACACGCGTCTGTTGCCTGTCGATAACAACAGACCGAGCTGAATCAAGAAGTAAAGTTGTGCTTCGGTCCCACACCGCAGCTCGCCGGGTTCATGATGGAGGGGACACTAGCAAGAGCACTGTGCCTGACCATAATGCACCGCGGTGACAGGGACCAACTGGCAAAGATCGTCTATGGTGAAGTGAATCACTCGAACTAAAAAAAAAAAACTACCGCACAATGATAGTCAATAAAACTATTATTTTTATAAATAATATAATATTCTTTTTTGTCAATAAACAGACAAACGGATTGATGGACGGCTTTATTATTATCATCACACATGGCTCTGTACATTATTCAATTCGTTTTTATTTGTATAGCGTCAAATCTGTATATAGGAGAGGAGAGATGGGTGGAAAAGAGGAGAGAGATGGGGGGATGGGGAGGAGAGGGGGAGGGAGAAGGGAGAGAGAGCAGGAACAGTTGTGTGCCATCATCATCACTAGTTGTTATAATGAACCTAACTAAGGGATGGTTCAGGACTCTAGGAGGAGGAGATGGAGTGGATTAGCATGTACAGGCGTTGCCATGGTTACCTATGTGATGCTGACCCTCCTTAAAGTAGTTCCTCTCAGGAGCATAGACTGGATATAAAAAGCTCAGGACCTTTCTACCGCAGCCATTCGCACAGACTGTGGATGTCACTCGCCCTCCATGATACCACGTGTAGCTTCTTCACGATATCGCGAGATTATCTGCTCAGACGTGTCTGCGCTCAGCCGGCGGGGTTTAGTCAGCATCAGCATCCTCTGCCGGACACAGATCACCGGAAGGATGCTGCAGCGAGGAGGAAGCGTGGGGGATTGTGTCGCTTCGATCTGATCCGATTATAAACAGTTCAAACCCGACATTTAAAAAAATAGATCTATTCTTTTTCTGGTTGAAACCCAGCGTCGATATCGCCGTCATGTTTCCGTCGTGTTGCTCCAAACCCGCGGCGGACGGCGGTAAGAGGAGCAGCTCCGTGGCCAAGCTGCTGCTCGGGGTGTTTGTGGTGTACTCGCTGCACACAGCCTGGCTGCTGTACGGCTTCCTCAACACCAGACCCTGCGACGGAGGCAGAGGGGAGACCTGCATCTCCTCCTACCTGACAGCCAGACCCAGACTACAGGTCAGCACAGGCCTCTGATCCCCACCAAGCATGCAGATCACTCAGGCAGCAGTAATAAAACAAGCCTTTCATTTCTGTGAGATCCAGGTCAGCACGACTGCAACGTACAGGGCATCGATAATTAGTGCAATGTAATTTCCATCCATAGAAATATGACAAAAGGCCAATATGTATCAATATATGGATTATGCATCGTGTAATCACAGTGAGGAGGTAGAACACATGCATGGTCAATATCGGATTTGTAAGAGGTTAATCAAGTGTTTGTCACTCTCTGCTTATGTGGAAGAGTTTAAAATGTTCATTTCAATCTCTGTATTAAAGTTATATAGTTGTCTACATTGTTTGCTCAGTTCAATGTAGAAACTATGACACTATTTAACCATCATATATTGTTTTTGGTATATATTGTAGAATTTATACTGAAATTCATAAAAGTAGAGTTTTAAACCTTCATTTGAGAGAAAAATCAGTCTGTAAACAGAAAATAAATAAGAATCTGTTGTTTGTCATGATAATGAATGTATTATTAATTCTTGTATTTATATAGCACAACCTTTCTGCAAAGGCCTCATTATTTAGTTAACCAGAGCAAAAGTCTGCCTCAGTCTTTTCATCATGTTTTTTCTGTTATATAGAAAATCTTCTGCACAGATAATTCAGTTGTCCTCACTTGAATACGTGAGTTTAGAACAACATGGACCTGTCGTCAGAAAGGATTCTTGATCAGTCTGAACCTCCGACCTGATTTGGTGATGTTGAAAATCATCACACATTTTTATTATTCTGAACGTGACAAGGCCAATTGAGTTGTGCTAATCTTTGATCATGTACCGTAATCAGGAAAACCCCTGATGCATTCTTCTCTTAAAAACAAATAATGATTATCTATCTGTCAAGTCAGGATATGCAGTGATTAATTGCAGTCAAAGAATTAAACGTCCACCACATTACATTTTCTGTTGTTCACCATCAACTCACTGCTTCTCCTCTTTTTTATCCAGCTGAGTGTGTTTACCTGCCTCATGCCAGACAACAGCCAACTCAACCTCGCTGTAAAAATAGACCCATTTGACCCACATTCGTCATTTGAAAGGTGAGTTTGACAAGTTATTATTACAACCATGTATCCCCAACTTGTTAGCATCACACACTGTTATCCATGCAAATTAGTCACAAATTGTGTTTTATGTGTAAAATTGAATGGAGTCTGTAAACCTCTTACCAGTGGTGGGACGCAACAAAGCACATTTACTTCATTAATGTACTTAAGTATTGTGTATTTCTACTTTACTTAAGTGGATTTATTTTAGATTCCTTTCACTGTTATTCCTCTACATATATTATCTGTGCCACTGAGGGCACTGCCGAGATTCATCCATAAGGATTTAGACTGTTGCATTAGAGAATGAGTTACACACAGTAAGTACTTTTACTTTTCATCAAAGTATATTTAAAAGCAAGTAGGGACTTACTTTTACTCAACAAGAAAAGTGAACGTGGTACTTTTACTTGATTACATTTTTGTCTATTTATTTGTACTTTTACTTTAGTAGTACTTCCTCCACCACTGCATCTTGCATAGACTCAGAGCCAAAAGAGGTAAAACTGTTCAAACCAAAAACATAGAAACACGCAAATTTAAAACAGCATTTGTAAAAGCTCAATATTAGTATATATATATGACTGTTTTATCCCCTTTTCCTCTTCTTTTCTCCCTCATGTCCCCTCTCCCTCTCTTTCTCTCTCTCTTCATAGGCAGGTGAATGTCTCTCTGCCAGAGGAGACCCGGGCTAATGGCACTCTGTATGCAGTCGTCTATGTTCACAAAGCCAGTGTTTCACCTCTGGAGGACAGCAGAGAAGTCCACTATGCGGCTCAGCTCACCACCCACATCACACCCACACACCCAGAGGGGCAGAGAGACCCGCAGAAGGTAAAATGCAATTCAGCTTCCTGTCTCATATGTCAGCTGCCATGTGAAGCGCTATGTAAGTATGTTAATTTTCTGGCTCCATCAGAGGTCCAGCCCCAAACCAGAGAATCCTGTGTCCCATTGGAGACCTCACCTGTCAGTCACCATGATGTCAGAGGACTTCACCTTCAACAAGGCGGGGCTTCCCAGTGATGTGCGGCGATACATGAGAGTGTAAGTGTCCACAGGAAGCTTTGGAGGTCAACGCCGGGTGATCAGGCAGAGTGCTGCTGACTTCTGCTTCAGTACTGCTGCTCGCCATGAGAGTGTATTGCTGGGGTCATCGGGTTAAGAAGCTATTCTATTAGCAGTTTGTAACACAATTAAGTTGATTATTCTGCTAATTTATTTATCTGAGATGAGACAATACAGAAAAATGATAAACTGAATGATAACAAGAGAAGCATGACGGCGTCCAACCTTCCTAATATTAATTTGCTTTGGCAAACTATAGATATAAGCATTCATTTTATCTGTACACCCTGTTGCATATCCTCTTCATACACCGATAACATGCATCAGCAGACAGCTGTCGCAAATGTTCTGTGAAGAAATATCATTTTTTGCATTTTAATTTATTATATACATATATTTGTACGATACATATTTTATACAGCCAACGGGAGGTAAAATGATGTAATAATCAACAAAAAACTAAGATTAGAAGAAAGTATGGAAATAATAATGATCGTATTTACTTTGGTTTAACCTTGTGAACATTCATACCCAAAGTTAGCAACCACCAGCAAATATCATTTTGTTTTTAAAAAATGACTTACTTCAGAAAATACTGTGCAGCATCAAGAGATGATTGCAGCTCTGTAGGAGTACACTGATGTCATTCAGTCAAATGCATGTGTGTAAGTACAGAATATACTCTGAGCAAACATGGGTGTTTAAATATGACTTTTTTCCCTGACTCCCGTCGTAGGTCTCAGGAAAGACACCAGATGATCTACCTTCCTCTGCTGCTGGTTAATGAACTCAGCGTCAGAGTCAGAGACCTCATGGTTGGACGCTTTTATCCACATGATGCTCAGTAAAATCTTTTCCATTAAATAGTGCATTAGTTAGTTTAACGTGACCATACATGTATCTCTCCGTCCTTCGACAGAAGATCAACAGCAGCACTGTTCACCTCCCTCTGACTGTGTCCTACGAGGGAATCTCTCTAAGGGGATTCAGGTTTTGGGTCCATCTGCAGGATGTGGTTTATTCCCTACGACAGTTTGGTGAGTTAATAACACAACAGATATTTTGTTATATGATGATCAGCTGAAAGTTGATTTAAAATATACTGATTGGGTTCAGGGTTATTTAGTATTTTTCATTTTAATAGAAACTTATAATGTTTGAGGAATGACGTCCGCAGTATATTTTGATGTGATACATTGCAATACGTTGCGACATGATATTTTTAAATATAAGCTTTTTGATCTTCATAATAACGAGACCGATCTGAATCCTGAGTTGCTGCTTCTTTGTGTTTATTAAGGCTTCACTGAGGAAAACATTGATGAAATTAAAGAAACTCTGATGGGATCCAATCTCTACCTGTTAGTGCTGACTGCACTCATCACTGCTCTGCAGGTGAGATTATATTACACTGAGTAAAACACCATACCACACATATTGGAATCCACTGAAACAAAGTCTCATGTATTACTTCCGATCACAGTTTCGTGAGTGTCATGAGGGAACGTGGCAACTGAAGCATTGTAAAATTAAAAGCATGTTGTTTAACTGTGTTTGTGATCTTCTTCAGCTCATCTGTGAATTCCTGGCTCTTAAAAATGACTTCAGCTCTTGGAGAAAAAAGAAGAACATGGTGGGAATGTCCAGAAAGTCAGGTGAGAACATCTTCAAATGATTTTAAATAAGTTTGCATCACTAAAGGCTTCGTTGAGTCAATGTAGGAGGGATAACCAGCAGTAACAAGCAACATTACAGTTAAGCTGTGTTTCGACCAAAATCACCTGGTCCCTGTTGTTCCAGGAGCGTCTTCAAGGAACTAAAAGTTTCCTGCAGACTAATGTTCATCTACGTTTCCACCTCGATCTAATGACCAGGGGAAAAATCAAACTGATGACGTATGAAAAAGCAACAGCTACAACAAGCAGTTCAACTCTGGTCCTCTAGACCAACATCATGCTGACGTTGATCAGAAAATAAACAAGGACTAGTAACAAAGTGTTTTTAAATCACCCAAAATGTCAGAGTTAAAGTAACAAAACTAAATTAACTAGTGGAAGTAAAACCGTTAATTTAGACCCTGGTCCCTGCAAAGGTTCCTGCTTCCTGGGAAAAGTTCCTGGAGTTTAAAACATCACCTGAGAAATGTTGAAACAATACCAGTTAGTTTCTTTCTCCCCCCCTCTCTGTGTTTGCAGTTTTGTGGCGTAGTCTCAGTACTTTGCTGATTTTCCTTCATCTGCTGGAGGAGACCAGTCTGCTGGTGCTGCTTCCTGTGGGACTGGGGGCGTGTGTGGAGGTATTTAGGGTTTTATCTGTCACCTCCAACAAAACAAGCGTGACGTAAAGATCCAAACAGTTTCAGGTCACTAAGAGTGTTTTCTCTCCAGGTGTGGAAGGTATTTAAAGTGTATAAGATCCATTTGCTGTGGAGAAGCTCCAACCTGCACGTGAGTATGTTGTCATCACCGATTTGTGTTCAAACTTAGTTAATAGTTAATATGAATATGTTTGTATGGAGTGGCAGAGCTGTTGTGGTTTGAACAACTTTAAAAGTCTCTTTTAAAATAGCTTAGTCCGGCCTCCTGGCTCCAGCCCTGATGTTAACAGTTTTTCCATTTTATTTCTTTATTTCTAACACTTCCTCTTCTCTCACTGTGCAGTTGAATAAACTGGATGAAGAAGAGAGAAAGACACTGGAGTATGACACACAGGTATCAGTATGTTTCTGTCTCGTCTGTTAGACCTCGGATTCTATGTCTTGGCCTCCATCTTTGTTTAATTGAATGTTTTGTCTGGTTTTCTCTCCAGGCGTCCAGATACTTGTCCTACTTGGTTTATCCTTTGTGTATCAGTGGAGCTATTTTCTCTCTGGCCTACTTACGCCAAAAGAAGTGAGCTGTTCACCATTATTCTGCTTTGCCGCATAATTCAAATGCCGTCTTAGTGCAGTGCCAGCAAATATGCAGGTCCTGCGAAACATTTCAGTACAAGCATCTCAGTTTTCATCCAGTCAGATTCAAATCAGACCTGTGAAGTAAGATGTTTGTGGTTGTTATTGTGTAGCGGTACTACCAGATGTACTGTATATTAAAAGCTGGTAGATATACTACCTGTTTTCCTGATTGTTTAACTAATATTAAATTGCATTGTATGTTGACAGTTATTATTCCTGGTTGATCAACAGCCTGGTGACTGGTGAGTCATTTTTACCAGTGAAAACAGCCTCATCTCTATGACTCTATGAATATTAATATATTGTAATATATAATGATAACTTCATTGAATTAGTGTCAGCGGATACCTTTACTTTTATATTCACATCGCTTATCTCCTCACAGGAGTTTACGCCTTTGGCTTCCTGTCCATGGCCCCTCAGCTCTTCATTAACCACAAGGTCTGTTCTGCAAAACTCATCAGAGACATAAAAAAATAAAAACAAAGTGTTTTAATTACCTGGAACAGTCTGATGATGGTGCTGAGTGAACCTCAACTGTATCCGCTCCTGTCTTGTGTTTCTTGTTTGGTTGTCAGTTGAAGTCTGTGAGTCACCTGCAGGGGACGGTGTTGATGTACAGAGTGAGTACAAACACTTCCTGGCTCCATCATGCTCATGTGCACCCAGCACTTCTTACTTCAACACAAAATAGTCCCAGTTCGCATGTTATTTAATCTCCTTTATTCAACTCAGACTTTTGGTTTCTCTTGTTTCCTGCTGTCAGATAAAACAACCTTTTAACTAGAATGGCACTCTTTCAAACTCCCTCATTCCTTCTCTTCACCAGGGAGTGAACACGCTGATCTCAGATCTGTGCTCCTGCGCCTCCTTTTTCTCTGGATCCTTCTCCTCCTCTCATCAACTCTCCTGCTTCAGAGATGAGCTGCTGTTCCTCCTCTACCTCTACCAGCGAAGGTATAAGATGTAAACCATAGACTGTGTATAAAAAGGGACGACATGAAGGCTCCCCAAAAGTGAAGCCAAAGCTAATGGATCGCCCCCTGGTGGTTAGTTTTTTGACCCTATAAAAACAGGGTGAAACGCCATGATTGACAGCTCCAAATGCACAAGATGGCAGCGTTCATATCCAGCATATTTTGGCTTCATATCTATCAGTCTCTGGTGTAAACAATGTTACTACAATGAGTACTGAATGCTTGTGTTGTTGTGTTGTAAGATACCTGCTCTCGTCTCATGTTTCCACCAGGCTTTACGCCGCCAAGGCCAGAAGACGAGACTCTGGGAGCCACAGCAAGAAAGTAAAAACTCAGTGAGGAGGCGAGCAGTGAATCATTTTCTGAAGTGAATGTTGAGAAACTCATCTATGAAAAACAAAAAAAGGAAGATGTGAAACAGAGACCTGCGTGGGACTCGGCTTCATCAGATCCAAGGCGTCTGGTTCAGCGTCTGGATCCTTACTGCTGTACATTCACAGTGCTGCTGCTTTTTGCTTGACATTGATGATTCCTCTGTTGCTGCTGCAGGGGTCGACAGTGATTCACTCATCTATAGGTTCTCTCTGCTGCACATGTGATGCTTTCTTCTGCTCTATATGCACATGTGGGTGTTTCCTGACACATTGTGAAGGATGGAGCTTCCCACAGCACAGATAGTTTGAAAACCATTAATCAGCTCCCATCTGCTTTAATTAGACTTGATTAGACTAGACTGAGTCCGCTCTTTTGCATCACTGAGTTTTATATGGCTGTCTTAAAAGCTTGAATCATGATTTGCCCCTTAACTTTAAGAGGCTCCAAAGAAAAAATTAATAATTTGACATATTTTTTGTATCGATTTATATGCATTGAATATATTCTGTATGCTTGATCCAATGTTTAACTGAAGCCGGGATCGCTTTTAATAATGGCATAAAATGCCCAATAAAATATGAAAGCATTTAATTTAAGCTACATGAAGCTATAATCTTGTATCACATCATTTTATGGATGCACCATAACATCAAATGTAAGTTCTTCTGCACCATCAGCCCAGTGCAGTATTTTTAGGTTCTTTGGAAACTTTGTTATCCTGAGTAAAACGTACACAGATGCCCTCTGGTTTAAACTTGGCTTTGTGACACATTTCTAATGATAGAATCACAGGGTTGCAGATGACCCACATGTTTTCACACAGCAATGAGAAGGATTTTTTTTCCGATCCATTTGTGGGAAATAAAAAATATGCTTGTTTTATATTTTTAATAATTGATGATCCACATTAGGTTCCTCCACATCCTGAAGTTGTATTTACATCAAGGTGCATGGGAAGTGCAGTCTGAGCTGGTCGCACTGTTCATACGACCAGATGTATAGATTTAATGTCTCTTATGTCTAAAATGCCAATACTTCCGTTTTTTGGTATTTTGCCATTCTTTATGTTCACCACCATGTGTTACATACTGAGTTACTGTATTTCCTCTGTCAATGTACTTTAAAATTAAAAGAAAATACTGACTTTGCATCGTGAACATAAAGAGAGATGAGAGGACTGCTCCCGACAAGTTACTGCAAATTTTGACTTCGAGGATAAGGATAAGTCTGTTTCCTGTCAGACCAGAGCATCATGGGAAGACATAAACACAGCACTTACTATGGGGGGGGTCAATCATTCCCATCCACTCTCAGACATGAGGTAAAACTGCAGAACAACTTGTGCTGGGATCACACCAGCTGCAGTTTAGTCAGCATGGTGATGTTCTGACAAAGTACTCGGTAGTCATTACTTTACTGTATGAGTACTTAATAGTCGCCAGCCGTAACAGCAGGGCTGGTATTTTGTGTGTGTTTGTGTATGGGTGTGTTGCCATGGCAAAATTTAGTTTGGGAGACACAGACTGTAATTGGTGTTGAGTACTTTGGTATGTACTGTATGTGTGTGTATGTGTTTATGTGAGTTTCTATGGACAGACAGAACTCTGCATGTGTGTATGTGCGATCAAACTGTATCCAGAGTGGTATGATCTACTCATAGTACTACACACTGAGTACTCGTGGATCAGAACGTCAAGCTGCTGTGATGCTGCGATCTTTACTGTGCTTGTATTACACTGATCTCTGCTTCTTCACTGACTAAACGGCTTATTTTACTTTTTTTATTTGTCATTGGAAGTACATTTTTTTATAAAGGGGGGAAAATATAACCACTTATCTTAAATTTGATCAGCGACTTTGAGAATGCACTGATGTTCTCGAGTCTATCAACACGTGGAATCAAGAGACAACACCACCCATTCAGCCGACCAGTTTCTGTTGAGGACATGTTGAGGGTGTGACTGTGTGTGTTTGTGTGTGTTTTGTTTTTATTGTCAGTATAAATATATTAAATACAATGTCCCTGATGTGTCCCTTTGACTGTCAGGTTTGGCCTGTGGGAATGAAAGTTAATTCACCGGGCCGCCTCTATAAAAGTGTCTGTGCAGGTTAGGTGTGTACTGGGTGTGTGACGCTGCATTCCTCTGTTGACACTGGACAGATATGTGATGTGACAGATATGACGTCACTGCCCTCAGTCCTGCAGAGAAAGAATAATGTTTACTTACAATATTTGGGATCAGGTTCTATGTTCATGGTTGATTTTGTTTCACTGAAAATACACCTTCACTGACTAGAAGCTTAGATTTTGATTTTCTGTTCTTAGCTGGAAGATTATTTTGACTTACAGGGTCAAATTTTAATGTCCACACTTCAATAATTCATGTTTCTTTCGTCTATTATTTATAGACGTGAGATAAAGGTTGGATTCACCTCTTGACTCAAGACAATAAAGCCAGCGGTTGTCGCAGCCGTCCTGCAGCACAGGTCGAGCTGAGCTGTGACATAAAACATGTTTATGTGTACAGACACACACTGTTTCAGTTTGCAGCCACTTTCACTGAAACAGCAGCAGTGTGACTGTAACTGACAACAGATAAATACAGGACAACAAGTATCTGTGAAACCAGAGCACTATCCAGGAATGTCCTCTCCACACACGCACGCACACACGCATTTATGCCACCTTGTGGGTGGAACAGCTGCAATCAAACACTTCAGTCAGACACACACACACACACAGTGCAGGGCACAGCGGGTTTGACAGGAGATAGCGGAGGTTCGGGTGGTGAACACACTAACACCTGTGATGAAGATGCTCCTCAGCTTTGTGCTCCTCTCCCTCCTCTTCCCTCCAGGTATGTAAACGTTCACTTCAGACTGGCTACAGGTCAAAGGTCAGGGGCTTTCGTACAGCGGCAGGGTGAAGGTGCTCATCTGGATTTAAAGAGTTTAGCTCAGAGGCAGAGATTAGTGTGTTAACCTTTCTTACAAAATAAAGTCTGGTGAACAGTGAGGGATTCAAATCACCCATACTTCCCTCCATCGTTTAAAAGGTTTGTTGTGGATGTGAGTTTAGCTTTAGGGCCTTTGTAATTAAAACTAAATGATTCTAAATGATACAACCCGAGATTTATTTTTAGGGACATTTTATATATATATATATATATATATATATATATATATATATATACATGACTGAAACTTCACATATAAAACTTTATCCACAGCACCTAGACTAGAAGAAAAACCCCTGTGTCACACTCATAATAGCTGTGCTGCTACAGTAGAGGCTGCATATATCAGTGTATATTTTGCTCCGTCTTTACCTGAACTTAAATGAACTTGAATCACTGGTTTAGTCAGTTTATTGTGTACTTTAATTGTGTTGTATTGTTTGCTTCAGTGGTTCTGCAGCAGGTTAATGCTGTAATACTGGAACTGTGCAACTATAGCATTAATTTGAAGATATGTAACTTCTACACGGTTCAGAAAGATGAAGAATATGTTTAAAAGTGTTTGTTGTTTAGTTTTCTGTGGATTATTCTCATCAGAATAAATGAGTAAATGTGGAATTAATCCCAGTGTGGTGCAAAAGATTTTCTACTTTCCACTGATTGTATTAGAACCAGATTATTCACTCCAGTCCGCTAAGAGTTAAAGTCATCTTATCGGAATTGTGTGTATAGTGGCAAGACCAAAAACACTGCTACTACTGAGTCAATATACCACTCATGCATCGCTCCACCGTCCCGGATTCAAACATGCGCATCAAGCTGTGTCTGTTGAAAGTCAGAGTTCAGTGACTCATTCAATAACATCACATGTCCTGGTTGTCTTGATGTGTCTCTAACAAGAATAGATTCGCAGTCAGGCGTAGCACTGAACGTGTTGAGAATCTGAAGTAGTTCAACTCGTCATCTCTCAGTTTTTTTAATTTCAAGCCTTTGCCAATATTGAGCATGTTTTAGCAAAGCTTTACTCCACCATCGTTTTTGAAAAGTTTATATGGGTCATTCGAAAGAATTCATCACAGACAAACAAAATTCACTTCAAACAATTTCAAACCGACCTGAACGACTTTTCCAGTTTTTGTTCATGACCGTGAGAAAGCAGAGTGATGAATCTGCCTGATGACACGCGACAGAAGAACAATCAACAGTGAATGGGAGGAGCAGCGTTCAACCTCCTCTTCAGCTGTTCTTATAATTAGAGAAGCGAGCCTGACAAGTTTTGACAGTGCTGTCTTTGGGAGTAGCTGTATTTCTGCCTATGTAAATTTATGGCGTGGCACAAAGGTCTCTCCCTTTTTTTTTTAAACTTCCTCTGCAGCCGCATTGAAATCCATAACAAACTTAGCTTCGGTTAATGCAGCAGCAGACGATCAGGAGCCTTAATCTGACTCTGAATTCTTCCTAGAACAGGAGCAATTCTTTATGCTTTAGCTGTGCGTCATTCTCAGAAGCATCTAGATTCCTGATTTAAAGACAGACAAGATTAGCACTGACTATTGCAGATAACTCAATTGTTTCATGTCCGTAGAGATTGTTGATACCACCTCCTGAAACTTTCCAACACAGTCACAATAGTTTTTCCAGCTTTAGGCTTTTTAACATGACCCCTTGTTTTCAATTGGGCCTTTATCAGCAGGGTTTATGTGTTTATTCGTCTTGTGGACTTCATCTTATCTTTCGTTTTATCTGTATCCATGTTTTTTTGTTGTCCCACCTGCAGCTTTGGCACTGGAATGCTACGTGTGCGCTGCTTCTACCACCAACGAACAATGCAACCAGAACACTCAGGAATGTCAGACACCGCTGGACACGTGCATGACGTCCATCGACACTTTAGGTAACTGTGGCTCAGAAACACAAAGAAGCAGAGAACATGCAGCCTTTCAGCATCAACTAATATTGTGCAGCCAGTCAGATTAACAGGGTTTCAGTCAAAAAGAGCTCCCTTCAACGTCCTTTTTTCTGTGTGTGTGTGTTGTTCAGGTACATCCATAGCCATAGTGAAGCAGTGTGCCAGTGCGGCCACCTGCACAGGAGCTGCCTCGTCTTCCTCAGTCGATGAAAACGGAAACGGAAACTCCGTCAACTGCTGCAACAGCTTCAATTTGTGTAACTTTAGCGGAGCCGAGTCCGTCCACGTGCACACGACACTTCTGCTTCTGACTGTGGTTGTAATACGACTGTTGTCACTGTGACGCACCAACTGTATAGAAGCTGAGGATGAAGTTACTCTGCATATATATATAATGTATCTACACAGGCTGTAATATGATGTTATATTATATTATTTAAAAACGGTTTAGCTTTCTGTTTCTATTGAAGACTGTGCTGTAAACACACAAAGCTCCTATTAATACAACTGTATATACACGATTGACACATTAACCTGTTACTGCACAATCTACCCTGTAGATTGAAAAGATCCATGGTTCATATTCAGTTTAGTAACTTTGAGACTAACTCAGGTTCACTGTACGCCCACCTACACCTGCAACCTGCTGGATGGTACTAGCTGTCTTTCACACGGTATCCATGCCTCAGTGCACAATGTTTTATCATCTATTTACTTCCAAATGGGACCATAACTAACTAAATGAACATCTTGCTGCATTGATGAAGACTTGTAACTAGAGATGAAGATCAGAAACTTTTTGCAGCCAATAGATGCCCTCTGTTGGTCATTCAAGAGAATACAGGTATCAGGCTGTCTCTTATAAAACTTCACCAGAGGACGCAGTCCTGTGCTCATGCAGACTCATAAAGTCTAAATGTGGGCTGAATTATTATCTTAATATTATACTAGTACTTGAATGAAATGTTATCTTATGTTCAGGGTTTGTTTTCCCTCCTTTCAATTTAAATTAAGAATAAAATGGACTACAACATGGAGCCTGCCTTCACACACCAGATTAACCAACTGTAGTTTCCAGAAATAAAGAATCTGGAAGGATTAAAAAATTAGAAATCTATCTAGAATAAGAATGTGGACAAACTGATTTCCATTTCATCATTATTTTATTTCATTGTTTTTTCCTCCTATTTGACAAGATGGCTGATTTAGCCCAGCAGACAAAATAAAAACCAGTGTTTACTAGTACGAGTTCTGTACAATTCACCAGTGATACACGCCAGTATAGTTTACAATATACCAACATGAGCAGATTTACGCAACAACATAAAATAGATTGTGTTTTTTCTTTTTTTTTTCATTTTAACCCTGTAACACCCACACATTTGATACTTTCATTGCTGGCTAAACACTGAATCAAATCTGGGTGAAAAGAAGGGCAAAAAACTTTGCTGTTTGCTGTGCAAATATGCTCTTCTCCATACCAGTATACCATGCTACACTAGTACAGTCACCAGTATATTTCATATAGCAGAATGTCATATTCCATGTGGGGTTATTATTAACAAAGTGACGTGGAATCTGCTGTATTTTCAGTTCAGTGTTTTGTGTCCACTCATGTGGCTCCACATTTCATGTGTGTTTATTTCCCTGGGGACTGTTGTTCGGGAGGGACATTATTAAAGTGTTACACCTGAAAGAAACCGGGACTCGAAGCACAAAGGTTCCAGTTGTGAGGTTTGCTTGAGGGAAATTCATTTTGCGACACTGGTGGACATGGGGCTGTTAAAGGTGTGACACCAGCCGAAGATGAAAAACATCTGAACGATATCGGGACTGAGGGTGAGGAGAAGAACCAAGACGCTGTCCTCACAGAGATCGCTGATGTTCAGCTCATTGATCAGTCTGAAACACGACGTTTCAGACTGATCAATCGCTCAGATGAAGAGGAAGTATCCAGTCACTCAGACTGACTCCTCAAAATCCACATATTGTTTTTTTCTTTCCATGCTGGGATTGAATATCTGCTTGTATTCCAAGTCATAAACCATTTTCAGTGTCGAGGAAAAAGACTGTGACCGCTGAAAACAACACAAAGTCATGGAGCCGATAAAAACAACAGACCAAACTGAGTGCGAGTAGGGAGTTTGATTCTTCACAGTTGGAGTCTTAAAAATCTGCTCAGATAGGAGCTGAGGAAGACTGCAGGAGGGAGAGGAGCAGTGAGGATGAAACATGAATGAAATAGAGGGAAAGAGGAAGATATGTGGCTTCTTTCTTCAGGGAGACTGGCGCTGCACTGTCCTCAAGTTTTAACCAACTCTTCCTGCCTCTCCCTCTGTCTCCTCCTCAGCAATTTCTGAGTCTATAAATAAAAGCTGGTGAGACGGAGGGAAGACGGGAGTGGAGGAGAAAAATGGGAGGAGCGACCGAAGGGTGTGAGGCTGTAGCTCCTGACCAAACCGAGACTGTCTCTTTACTGTGAGTTTTCTTGTTGGAGCGTCCATCAAAAAGCACCGTGCACAACCAGAGCTGAACAGAAAGTTGATGAGCATCCATGAAGATGTGGAGGTATTTTCAACTGAGCTGGAGGTTCACATCCACCGGGTCAGAACACGTGACGTCATCATGGCGGCTGGCTGATGTCTGAAGTCTATTCCCACCGTGAAGTTTCATGCAGACACACTGCAGACCAGAGGCAGTCCCATCAGGCTCTGATGGCTTTGATTATAGTTGGATTCCACAAAGACTAATCTATCTGATGTCAACAAATCCAGATCCAGTCGCCCACGATGGAGCTTCTGCCACCTCAGGAATCAGGCTCATTTTAAATATATGTCCAAAGAGAGCGAAGCTGTTAAGTCCCTGATTCAGGAAGAGTTTATTTTGCTCTGTTCTTGTAATAAGAAAGTCACAGTGGTGGATAGTTTAATCCCAGATGAACGGACGACCTCGGTTTAAGCAGGATACAACATGTAATGAACAGAGCCACTGTTTCTCACATATCAGGAGTCACGACTCTGGAGTCTTTTATTCTCCACCGCCGACAGGAACCGTAACCCTGTTGTCCAGGCTAGTGCGGGCGCGACTGGGCCATCATCTTGAGCCGGGATTGGTCAATAACATCCAGCAGGTTCTTGGCGTCGACTGCGAGAGCGTGTGCCGCCGTCAACATCTGTTTCTTGTAGTCCTGCTGGAGACTAGGATGGAGCACAGACACAAACAAATACATGAATAATACAACAGATCTTTACTAGTGGGCAGACAGGTAGTGATTACAAAAGGATGCTATGTGTACAGATTTATCATAGACGAAGCATGAAAAAACTCACTGCAGCAAAGTTTTTTTCTTATGAAGACCCAAACAAATTAAAACAACAAAACGAAAATAAAACAGCATTGAAGGGAGTAGACCCTTTCTTCGAAACACATCTAAACAAAACTAATGTTATGAATAATTATTCCGAGACACTGTGGTGGCTTCTGCAGTGTTCTACGCCATTGTCTGCTGCGGGTGTGGATTCACTGAAATAAACTGGTGAGGAGAGCCAGCTCTGGACTGCCCTCTGGATTCCACTGAGGAAGTGGGTGAGAGGAGGATGTTTGAATTCCATCATGGACGACACCTCTCACCCCTACATGACACTGTGGGGCCTGAGCAGCTCTTACAGCAGCAGACTGCTGCACCCACAGTGCAGGAACGCCTCTGCAGGTCCTTCATTCCCACTGTCAGACTCTACAACACCGTCCGGCATGATAAATAAATGAATGCACTGGTTTTTCTCATGTCCCTCTACTTATGTGACTTGCTCTATTTCTATTGTTTGCACATTATTGTCTCTTCCTCATCACTTTTTTGAATTGCTCGTTCAATCATCCGGTGCCAATGCACTTTACTCAATAACATTTCTATATAGACCACTTCTACATGGAAATGTGCATATTAGGTACAAACTCTGCCTTTTTTATTTTTATTCTCTAGTCTACCTCATTCTGACCTGCCTTCTGCTGTAACAATTCAATTTCCCCAGTTTGTGGATAAATAAAGTTAGATCTTATCTAACCTATTTGATTAATATTATTACTTTGACTCCTATAATTGATCAAAAATCTCTTACACTTGCCTTTATCCAATAATTTGACAAAAAATTAAATAAGGTAGTTGTCATTGCATTGAAGCTGCATGATATTGTGTCAGACACTAAGAACTATTCTTTGAGTGCAGTGAAGTTGCTGGTGTGTGATCCTACCTGGTCATCACATATTGTTGGGCTAACTTCATCTTCCCGATCAGCTCCGCCAAGTCAGAGTTCAACAGTTTTTGAGCCATCTCGATCTGCTCAAGAAAACCAGCACAAATAAGACACAGAGTCTTTCCCAACACCTACTGCTGCAAGACAGAGAACATGCATGCATCACTGTGCAAGTGCATATTTTTATACCTCTCTGTGTGTACTGGCTGGAAGCTGTGGTAATGTCTCGTCCACTGTGGCCAATAACGTCCTCAAAGCCAGTCCCACATCCTGGAACGCACAGAAACACACACTGTTTTTGTGATCAGAGCAAAATTATACACAAAACCAATAAGATGTGAGATTATTAAATCATATGGAGTTTTTTAAAGATTCAGTTAAAAAATGTCAGATGTCACATAAATACATTTAATCTAATTAAAACATATGGAAACCTCTATGGAGACATAAAATCCAATACATTTTCACCAAATTGGTTAACACCTAAATCTAGAAGAATGGATTTTCTTTAAGTATGCTTCCATCCCTCCGTCAGAATCTGGTTAACAAATGATTCACAAATTATACATCTAGAAGCAGGAGCATCAAATATCGGCTGATTGTGGAAACGTGTCCTTGAATTAAAACATTGTGCCTGTGGGGTCGAGAGCCTCAATCTTTATAATAATTTCAGGTTCGCAGCTCAGACTAATCTGTGATTCAATGTGAGCTGCTGAGGGGGAAACACTCCGACTGCATCTGTTACCTTGACCATAGGAACATATTCCTCTGGAGGAGCTGGCTGAATCTTGCTTGACATCTCGATCACGGCTTTGACCAGTCCCGTCACGTTCTCGTACACCTTGTCGTTGGACCGGTCCAGGTTGGCGGTGGGGGGCGGGCTTATCTCGTGGGGCTGCAGCTAAACGGTGAGAAAAAAGAAAAACAGTCAGTGCCACGTTTACTGAATAAAGAACAATGTCTGGAGACTGACGCTGAGAATCAAGCAACTAAACACAAAACAAACAGTTGAGACAATACAGAAGAAAATCATCCTAAGATTTATTATTCAAAGTTGTCGGCACAAATCCTGCTTGATTATAGAGAACATGAACATGAATCATGCATCGAGCTAACTCACTAACAACACTGCTTTTCAAATAGGTGGAGGAAAGGAAGCCACAGCTGGAGCACTGTCACCTTTTAACTACATCACAGAGGTAAATCAGTGGATTCATGAATAATTAATCAAATTGATGAATGAATGAATGAATGAATGAATGAATGAATGTGTCAGTAGGTTATTTGGATCTAGGACGAGCCTTGACATGAGTGTAGACACAGATGTTATCAAAAGCTATTCTCTATTTCAACCACTAGATGGTGGTGTCACACTGGTACAATCAGATACTGTATATTAATCATGACCATTTAATCAAAAACTAATGAGGAGGGGTCACACTTGAATCAGATTAAAACATTGATTAACTGTGTCCTATTCAAGTCGTGAACTGTTATATTCCTGAATCGAATGCTCTGTTCTTCAGCACAATTTCACTCCTCATCATCTTAACTTCTTTTTTCTTCTTAATCACCATCAACCCAATTCAAATGGTAAATCAAAAAACCACTACAGCCCTGATCCATGCTCACATTATGGTGTGTTACTCCTGCTTCACATATTCATATAAATTAACATACTATATTTAAGTATTTTCTGCTGCAGTATTTCTACTGGAGTGCGCGGCATGGAAATTCTCTTAACTGGGTTTTTACAAGGTGAACAACAAATGACACTCTCCATTATAAACATAAAGGAACCGCAGATAATGTTAATGAAGCAAAGATAAATAACATTTTTGTCCTGAGCCTAGAAAACTGTATTATAAGTGCTTGATTAGATCAAAATCCCTTCTATTGAGAGTAAAGTAAATTCATTTTGTTGGATTTGCAGTGTGACAGGGGATTAAAAACCGCTAGTGTAACAAAACAAAACCACTTAGTTTCAGATGTTACTTTTAAGAGGAAAAGAAAACAGAAACAATAAAAGCTGTCTACACGATGACTATAGGGATGACACATTTATTTTGTCTGTTCAACAGAAATTTGATTGTTGCACTGACGGAAGAAAAGGAGCAAATGAGTCAATGTGTGATCGACCAGGAGACAAGACGCACAGTAAACACACACAGACAGTGCGCTGCTTACCCGCCAGGGCTAGGTTCAACATTAAGGCAGAGTGCAGGAGGAGGAAGAGGAGGGAGAGGAAGGGGAGCAGCCACGGGAGAAGAAGATAACAGGAAAATATTAACGCTCAAAGCATTAAGAACATGCACTCTGTATATTTGTATATATTCTATTCTATGAAAGGGTGTTTTTTATCAAAATGTCCATGCATATTTGCATGCAAGTATATTCTTCTTAAAAAGTCATATGTTTGAGTTTTCTGTGGGTTTCCACCTCTGTTTGTCACAATGTGAGAGTGTGAGTGTGTGTGCGTGTGTGTGCGTACCTTAACTCCGTCGTTGTAACTGTCTCCAGTATTTAGACAGGCCAGACTACCCACTTGACTTTGGGCTCCAGGTCGAGGGGGTTTCTTTGGAGGAGCTGCATGCTCTGCACGAAACATGATATAAAAGTGAGAATTATACTTCCTCACAGCTTTAAAGCCTCACACATGTTAAAGATGTTCTGGACAGATTGTACATTGATCCCATTTAAGTTAGTTCACATCATGGTGCTACGAATAATGATAATTTTCATAATCAATTTGCTTTTCTGATGCTTCCAATGTCTTGATCTGTTGGTCCATCAGTTTTATTAAATTTAAAATGATTTAAGCGCAAAAAGAGGAAGATCCTCACATTTGAATGGGCCCTTAATGGTACCTTTATTATGAAAATGTATTGTGACATTTTAAGAATGGGAACTCTAAACCAAGGACAGAATTATCCTGTGCAGAGCAGTTATATCAAGTGTTTTTCTGCGGTGTTGTCCCAGTCAAATAGAAAAAATACTTAAAGTACAGGGAAAAAATGCAAGTCTTCATACTAAGAAAAGAAAACTGTCTTGCAAGCTCTCCACACTGTAGAACTATTTTCAGCTGAATGTTGTTCTATGTCTTCTGCACTCAGCTGCTTGCAGGGCTGTGGTGTATTCTCACAGAATATCAAGCTTGACATGTCCATTTAAACACAGGTTGATTTCCTCACTTTAAGCCAACACGCGGACGTGTTTACCGACAGATGTGTCGTATTGTGGCAACAGACTCTGAACTCTGCCGACGCAGACAAGACACTGACACTATCTGAACATAAAAGATCTGTTTACACAGTGAAGAAGAGCTGAACACAGCCATGTGATGCTTTCTGTGTGAACTTAAGAGTAGAAGACAGAAAAAGAAGAGAGAGTACTTGACTGTAATTTTAGAGCACTAGCGGCCTGTCTATTACCTGGTTTGCCAACGGGCTGGTATATGTGCTGGTTTCCCGTCTGCACAAACAAACATAAACAACAAAATATTGGGTTAGAAATTGCACAGTCAAAAGCTCGACAGGAAATTAGAACCTCACAAGCAAAAACCACCAGCTGCTTCTGAAAAATTCAGGGAATCCAATTTCATTTTCATGTTACACGACAGCGGGTCTCAATTTGTTCTTGTAAAACCAGTCAAGGAGCTGTTTCTGTTTTTTTTAGTGGTGTGTGGTCGAGCACCGTGTTAGTAACAAAAATATTCTGTCTGGCGATGCAGGGATGACAGAAATATGTGATTCCTTTGTGAGTGCAGATCTTTTAAAAAAAACAAAAAACACAGAGAGCAAGTCTTCATCATTTGATGGTTATGAAAATAAAACAATGGCACTTGGTTGTTTTCCTCTGTGTGAGAAAACAGCACAGAGCCTCGAAAGCCTTCAGAGAGTGATGGTCTGACAACCACCAACACCCCAAAATACTCTACTACAGCATTTTAGCCACACACACCCACACAAAGACACACAAAGACTCACATTCACATACAAACGAAAGAGGTTTTCCCACCACAAACCACAGCCATTCAATGGGAGGAGGAGGAGGGGGAGGAGGAGGACTTGCAGCGAGATGAATTACAGAGACAGAAATATCTGTCTTGCCTATGGTAACTTCAGACCGCTGTGACAAACTCTGCAGGCATCAGGGACGCAACGGACATGCAACTCAGAGATCAGCTCCTCTGAATTTAACGCTATGCACAAGCTCAGATAAACATCATCATTTCATGTGAGGACGAAGATGAATCACAGAATGGACTCCTATTTGAACTCTTTGAATAGAACCATGAGATGTAAAAAGCATTTACATCAGCATCTCACCATCAGTACGATTTTTAATGAAAATGTGCATCTGACATAGTTTAAATCATTTGTGTCATCTCTAATTTAAGATTGATGTGGTGAGCTCTCTGAAGTGGTCTCACACACATACACCCTCTTTCACAAACACTGGGACTGAAGCATGTTTGTTCTCATTCATGGGACTACTGCTGCAGCTAATGATTATTTTCATTAACGATTAATCTGCTACTTGGTTCAACAATTAATCATTTGTGTGTGTTGCAGGGCCTCTCCCAACTCCCTAAAACTCTGGTGAGACCAGAAGGTTGGTGGTTTGATCCCAAGCTCTTCTGATTCCTGTGAAAACTGCACAGTGTGTGAAGGGCAGCATATAGTGGTTTGATCCCAAGCTCTTATAGTGGTTTGTACAGTTGAGTATAAATACAGTCAATTTACCATATAAGCTGCAAACATGGTTACAATGTTCAAAAAGACCAAAGAGTCCAAATTCACCATTTCCTCCTCAAATGACGATTTTCACACTGTAACCTGTGCAATTAGTGGGAGCACAGTGAACTGCAGCCTCCCATCTGATGTCAGATGGAGAGAGTCACGCTTGTTATGGGAATCTGTTGACCCCCTCACTGATGACCCCACCCCCCCTCGCAGGTCACTTCCTGTCCCTGGATCAATCCCTTCAGCTCTAATCAAAACAAACACATGCTTCGGCCAATCGCAGCATCTGAGCAGAACGTGAACTTCCGCCTGCATTTGTCTTTATCGGACATCCTCCTCGCTTTAAAAACAAGCAGCTCAGAAAAACAATTTCTATTTTTGAGATGCGCATGTGAAGCAGGAGAACATGTGATGGAGGGCAGGATTTTGACAGTGAAGATAAAGTTTGAGGGTGAAACAAAGTTCATCCAGGAAAAAACACCACCACCCTTCACGGCATATTTAGTCATGGTCAAATTTCAGATATCTCATCCTTTTGCGTGCATGAATAACAACAACTAACAATGAGAGATACAGAAACAACAACTCACTGGAGGTTGGAGTCCACCATCATCTCTGTCCAGACTCCCTCGAGAGGTTCTGGCGTCTGGTTTCTAAACACACACAAATAAGAAAGAGTCAATTAAACGCCTCTGCATATCAACAGTATTTAAGTTCAGGGACTCAGGGCAGCAGTCGATCAAACAATTAGAGACAGATCAGGTTATTCAAAATTACTTCCATTGTTGTTTCCACTGAGCAGAAAATCACATTGCTTTTCTGTAAATGACTACAAGCTGCGATGGATTTTGATTCCTGGGTTCCCCGTTGAGACATATACCCTTTTAAGGCATGCTGTGAGCTCATGTCCCATGCTGTTGTCAGAATGATGCATTACATGGTGAAAACTCTATCAATAATCTGGTCGATTTAAGGACTTATTAAAGATCTTCATCGAATGACAGCCACGTGCAGCCATTTTAGGAACACATGAAAATAAGTAACCATGACGTCAGTAAATGAGTGACAGTTTGAAGAAGGTGGGCAGACTCCCGCTCTCCAAATCAAAGTTTAATCTTAACAATGATTAAGTAGATGAGGAAATGAAGCACAACAGTGAAGCTCACATGGATAAAATAAATCATCCAAACACTCGTTCCCTGCATGAAACCTCCAAACAGGAACACACTGTACAAAGCTGCAGGATAAAAACCTCCAGGACTTTCACCTGAAATGTAACCCCCAAAAATAAAACCACATACACACGTCTACATTTACAACTAGCGTACATACAAACACCCATATCAATCCATCACGCTCTCACACACAACCATCCTCGCCTACCAGTTTTCCAAGACAGGACTTGAAGACCAGCATTGCCACTGAGTTCATCAAAGTTCCCTGATGAACTGCTTGTGTCCAATTTTTTTTTTTACGTGTTGTTGTGTCTTTGTTTTCGTCTTCCAGCCCTATTATATTTTTCTGTAGCTTCGTCTGCCTCTGTAACTGAGTGTTTTCCCTGTCTGAATTTTAGTCTGTCCCAGCGGTTTCATCAAGACAAGAATTCAAATTCAACTCTGGCTTCCTGCCTCCACCACACTTATATCTGACTCTGACGCACAGAGAGAGAGAGAGAGGGAAGGAAAGGAGAAGAGGGAGGGAGGAGATGGAACGTGCTGCCAAAAGTCAGTCGAGCATGTCTACCCTTCTTTCCCAAAACCTTCATTTCTCCACCCTTTCTTCCCACCCACCTCTTTTACTCGCCCCTCCCTGAAGTGAGAGTATTATAAAAACAGCCAGCCTGCAACACACACACACACACACACACA